ATGACGACAGTACCTGTGTTGGCCCTTCTGGATTTCTCCCAGCCCTTCCTGATCGAGACAGATGCATTCGGGGTGGGTCTCGATGCAGTATTGATGCAGAATAATCGCCTTATAGCTTTTTGCAGCCACAAACTTAGTCCATCTGCACAATCCAAATCTGTTTACGAGCGAGAGTTGATGGCCATTGTCTTTGCTATTAAAAAGTGGCGGCCCTATCTTCTTGGTAGGCGCTTCACGGTACGTACTGACCAGTGTAGCCTTAAGTATCTGTTGGAGTAGCGAGTAGTCGAAGGTGAGCACCATAAATGGCTCCTTAAGCTTATGAATTATGATTTTGAGATTTAGTACAAACCAGGTACAGAGAATGCCGTGGCTAACGCTCTTTCCAGAGTTCCTGCTGAAGTATTCTTAAATTCTCTTACACTCCCTATTTTTCTTGATTTTAATGACCTTAAGGAGCAAGTTGACACTGATTCCTTTCTGCCCAACGTTAAAAAAGTTATACAGCAGGATCTGGCGGCCTATCCTGCCTACTCTTTAGTTAGGGTACACCTTCGTTATCATGGTAAATTGGTTCTACCTTCTTCTTCTCCATATATACCCCTCTTACTCAAAGAGTTTCATTCTGGTGTTGTGGGGGGTCACGCTGGTATCCGCCGGACATATGAGCGTATAGCAGCTGAATTTTACTGGCGGGGGATAAAACGCTCTGTTTAGGAGTTTGTGCAGGCTTGTGACGTGTCAACGCAGTAAATATGAAGCCATGTCTCCTGCTGGCCTTTTGCAACCTTTACCCGTTCTTGATCAAATATGGGAGGATATTACTATGGACTTTATTGAGGCTCTTCCTAAGTCTAAGGGATTCGATACCATTATGGTGGTGGTCGATCGTCTCTCCAAGTACGCCCATTTCGTCCCTCTCAGTCATCCTTTCTCAGCTCCCACGGTAGCACAGGCTTTCTTACACAACATAATTCGATTACATGGCATTCCCTGATCAATTGTGTCTGATCGTGATAAAGTTTTTATGAGTTTCTTTTGGCGTGAGCTTTTCACCTTGCAAGGTTCAGAATTGCGTCGCAATTCAGCTTACCATCCTCAGACGGATGGTCAATCGGAGGTGGTTAACCGCTGTTTAGAGACTTATTTGCGTTGCTTTGCGGCTGACTCTCCCTCTCGCTGGTCTTCTTGGTTATCTTGGGCAGAATACAGCTATGATACTTCTTTTCACACTGCTGCTGGTATGACACCTTTTAAGGTGGTTTATGGGCGCGATCCTCCCCCATTGATCCGCTTTGAGCTTAGTTCTACTGCTAACGCAGATGTAGAAGCTGTTCTCCTTCAGCGTGACGTTGTACTCACGGAGCTGCGTGCTCACCTACACCGTGCACAACAAAAGATGAAGGACTCGGCTGATGCAAGCCGGCGTGATGTGAATTTTGATGTTGGGGATTTGGTGTATGTGAGGGTGCGACCTTATCATCAGCAGTCTTTAGCTCGCCGAGCCAATGAAAAGCTTGCCCCTCATTTTTATGGACCATTTGCTATTGTGGAAAGAATTGGTGTTGTCGCTTATTAACTTCACCTCCCTCTGGATGCACGGATTCACCCAGTTTTTCATCTCTCGCAACTCAAGAAGGCGATTGGTAACCATATCTCTTCTCCTGTGATTCCTTCCACTCTGTTTGCTGATATGGAGATGCTTGTGGAACCAGCTGCCATGCGCGGTGTGCGTCCATCCACTAAGCCGGGAGTTACTGGTTTAGAAGTGCTTGTCCATTGGCAGGACCTGCCTGATTTTGAAGACTCTTGGGAGCCCTTTGACTTGCTACGAGATCAATTCCCTCACTTTAACCTTGAGGACAAGGTTAGACTTTGGGCGCCAGGTAATGATAGGCCCCCAATTATCCTCACATATGCTAGGAGAGGAAAAGGGCAGCACAAGCCAGGTCAGCAGTCGGTTGAGGGAAATGTTTAGCTATGCCAGCTGGGCATTGCTAGAGAAAGTTAGTAATGATATCAGGAGGGAATATTATATGGGGAGTTAGTTATGATATCTGGAGGGAATAATTCTGAGAGGGAATCAATTAGGATGTCAGGAGGGAATATTTCTAAGGGAATTAGTTATGATGTCAGGGGGGGAATATTATATAAGGGGGGGTCTGGATTGGGAGGAAGAGGAAAGAACATTGTGAGTGTTGGGAGAGCCGGCGGTCTCTCGAAGAACCGACCTCTGTTATCACTCTCCATTGAATGAATACAAGTTTTCTCTTATTTTGAACTGTGTGTTTGCTGAGTGCCTATAAATTGAGTGTGAGATTTCTGGAACCTATCAGTTTAGCACCAAGTTTTCCAATCTTAGTAAGAAGGTCTAGCACATGCTTCCGTTGAGAAATAAAGATACCTTCCTTGGACCTAGCAACCTCGATGCCTAGAAAATACCGTAACTCCCCTAAATCTTTAATTTCAAATTCAGAACTGAGAAACTTCTTGAGAGCACCAACTTCTATTGTATCATTTCCAGTAACCATAATATCATCTACATAAACTATAAGAAATGTCACCAAAGTGTCTTTTCTCTTAACAAAGAGGGTATGATCTGATTGAGTCTGAGTGTATCCGAACTGAACAAGAGCAGTCTTAAACCTGTCAAACCAAGCACGTAGGGATTGTTTCAAGACATAAAGTGATTTCTTCAATCTACACATCTTACCCTGCATTTCCTTGCCATATATACTAGGAGAAAGGGATATATATATATATACACATACATACATATACCTCTTCAGTGAGATCACCATTCAGGAATGCATTCTTAACATCAAATTGATACAGAGGCCAATCATTGTTCACTGCTAAGGATAAAAGAACTCTCATCGAAGTCATCTTAGCATCTAGAGAAAAGGTCTCAGTGTAATCTATCCCATATACCTGAGTATATCCCCTGGAAACAAGCCAAGGTTCAAACTGTCCCTAATAGAAATCAATCCAACAAGGTTTACCTCTGATCCCCAAACAGCCCCTAATAGAAATTCAATCCAACCAGAGGTTCCAGAATTATATCCAACCAGAACCGCCCCTAATAGAAATCAAAAGGCTTACCTCTGATCCCCAAGCGCCTAGGCATCAACTAAGGACGAAAAACCTCCACAAAACTCTCCAAAAACCTTCCTAGTTGGGCTGCATAAGTAGCTGATTGATTAATCGATCAGTTCTCCATACACACTATGTATGGGCAAAGAAAGGAGAAAAAAGTCGAATTGAGAACCTGCTCCGATACCAAGTTGAAAATTACACCTACAGTAACTTAGATAATGTAAGAAAAGAAGAAAAGAGAGAAAGTGAAAGAAGTTTCAGCAATAGGTTATGGAAGAAGAAAAGAAGGGAAGAGAGAAAAGAAGAATTTGAACCTCTCTCTAGCCCCCTTTCATCACTTTTATTAATAATTCTAAGTTTGAGTACAATTACTTGGATGCCCTTAATGGGGCGGCCAGCACTAAAGAAATAATTAAAAAAAAATAAAAGAAGGCCTATAAGGCCCATAACTAAGAAACATAACTTTTAAATACTACTTATAAGAAATAAAGAACACTAGGCCCATTCTGCCCATTCTCACTACAGAGGTGTTGGAAATGCTGGAAGAAAAAAAAAACAGAGATTCTGAAGAAGATAGCAGCCTTGGACAGGTTGGAGAAAGAGAATAATCTTTCTAAAGAAAAATGGAGGGAGGGTGAGGTTTTGAGGGAGGAATTGGAGAATATGATTCATGCTGAAGTTGTTATGTGGAGACAAAAGTCAAGGGCGTTGTGGCTGAAGGAGGTGAGATAAAAATAGTTCTTGCTTCCATGTACTGACCAGAAATAGGAGAGGAAGAAATTTCATTTTTAGGCTGTAGGAACAAGGTAATTGATGATCAAACGGAGATGGTTTTTTTGGGGAAGTGTTTTTTTTGGGCAAGGTAATTGATGATCACCCATTGAATTCCTTTCGGTCAGGAAGTGTTTTTTTTGGGGAATTTGGCATTTGACAAGATTGGAGAGACGATGGATGAGTGGTTAGAAAGAGAGTTTGATAAAGATGAAGTGTGGGAGTCATTGAAAAGAATGAAAGGGGACAAGGCACCATTTCCAGATGGTTTTAACTTGTCCTCCTTTGAAAAATGTTGGATCTTTGTTGATGATGTGATGGCCATGGTAAAGGAATTTTGGAAGGAAAAATGATTGAGAAAAGCACTAATGCAACATTCATTTGCCTTATTCCTGAGGTAGAGGGAGATTGTAAGGTCAAAAAATTCAGACCAGTAAGCTTGATTTCAAATGGCTATAAAATAATTGCAGAATTCTCTCAAGAAAATTAAGTTTGGTGCTTCATAAGATTGTGGGTCCTACCCAAATGGCTTCATAAATGTGTGTTTCTCTCTTTTGATAAAACCAAGATATAGAAAAAAGCCATTAGATTCCAAAAATGTATCCGTTTTTGCAAAACATTTTACCAACCACATGTCAACAAGTACAGGAAGATCCTTCTGTCACCCATTGATGTCCTAAAACATTGATAAAATGGGACCTAATATTTCAAAGGAATTCAAATGATCAATTTTGAGTATTTTATCTAGGTAAGCTATCCATGTAATGGAAACTTGGAAGGAAGATTTGGTGACCAAATCCACTGCCAAGGGAATCCAATACTGTGGTTCCAAAGAAAGGTATACAAAAATGATTTGATCAAGAAGAGGTCAAAGTATTATGGAATATTATGGATAATATCTCAGTTTTATTTCTTATTGGTACTGAACGAGATGGAAATACAAATAATATATCAATATTTTAAACTATGCACRTATTATTGAATTTGGTATCTTTTTTTTAATTAGTTAAGTTTTATTTATGTTTACTTATTCCTTGTCGAGGTGATTGCTATTGCACAAGGATAGAAAAAATGTCCCAAAATTTTGATATTGCTTTTAATGGTAAGTCTTTCCCCTTTTTGTGAATACACAGGTGACCCTCAAGTATTGTCAGCCAACATAATGTGGACTAGCCCAGATGTATGTTCTTGGGTAAGAAACCCTTGCAAGATTCAAAATGGTGAGTTGGTCTTGGAAGTCGTTGTTGACAAAGCAGCTGTCAAGCGAACTGGTGATGCTTGGAGGGTTGTGCTCAATTCCTGCCTTCCCGTAATCCATTTAGTTGACACAAGACGATCCATTCCATATGGCATCAAACAAATTCAGGAACTACTAGGCATTTCATGTGCTTTCGATCAAGCAGTTCAGGTAGCATTTTCTCCTTTCATTGCTGTTAACAAATTGAGAACTTACTATTAAGGATTTTGTCTGGTAATACCACAAAAATTTGCATCAATTTGCATGTTTTCCCCCTCTCCAAAGCATCTCAGGTTTTTAAATGTAGCTGAACTGCTTAATTTGTTGATGCCATTGATAATTTTTCTTGCTTATAAGGTTAAAATTGCATATTTCTCTCTGGTTTGTGGATTTTATTTTCTATCGTGTGAATGCCTGGTCTCAACACTAAATGCCAATCATTTGGGGTTGGCTCATTTTAATGCCTGGTGATAAAAGATATTCATTTTATCTCTGAAGTTTGGATTTGGTACACAACGTCATATTGAACTGAGTATAATATAACACTATAACTGTACAAGTTATTTAAGAGTTAATAATAAACTTTTAACACTAAGATCTAACTTGGTATTTATAAATCATGCATTCACGGTCACTGATCATTTACTAAAAGTAAAAGTAGCATGCTACAAAAGCAGTAATGAAGAAAAACAGCTTAAAAAAAGTCATAAATAATTAACATTCATATAATGAGAACAAACAGTCATAAATAATAAACCAGTAACTCTGTAATTGCATACAAAAACAGCATACATATAATGAAAAAAAAAGAAGGAAATAAATGTATTTCTACCTGAATGTGAACCCAAATTCCAAAATAAATAATAAACTTTATACCTGTCACAGCTGAGCACTTACAGCTCACTCATCAGGGGTGGAACAAGGATTTGTTCTTGAGGGGGGCCAAAAGCTAGTAATCATGGATTGGGGGGGGCAAAAGTTAGTAAACATGGGTAGGGGGCCAAGAAAAAGAGGGACCCAAGAAAATCTTTGTGCTCTTTGTTTGCAGGTGGTCTATTCCAAGCAGCAACGTTATGGATGATTTGGGGAGAAAGAAATTTCAGAATCTTCAAGGAGAAGAGGAGTGCAGAAGCTGTTTTTGGAGGCATTGTGATTAAAGCAATACATTGGGTAAAGACCATGACTGTATTCTTGGATTTCACCTTTGGTGATGTTATCAGAAATTGGGGGGGTGGGGGGTGATTGCAGCTTCTTCCTCTTCCAAGGAAAAAAACAGTAGCACAATGGACCCCACCCACAACTGATTTCCTCAAATTGAATTTTGATGGCAGCAGTTTTGGCAATCCAGGCCCTTCTGGGATAGGTGGAGTTTTAAGAAATGATAGGGGAGAAATTCTGGGATTGTTCTCAGGACCAATTAGGGAAGGGGATTCCACAAGAGCAGAGCTGAAAGCAGTCATATTCGGCCTACAGAAAGCTGTGGAATTAGGCTCTCAAAAGTTGGTAATTGAAGGTGGTTCTAAAGTAATCCTAAGCTGATTGAGAAAAGAGGAAAAGCATCCATGGTTGTTCAGAAATGAGATAAAAAAATTTAGAAAATTATCAAAAGACCTGCAGTTATTAATTCAGTGGGTTCCAAGGTCAGCCAACAATCTAGCTGATCAGTTGGCAAAACAAGTGGTGAACAGAGAACAAGTATTCTGGGCACMGTTGTAACATAGAAAAGCAAAATCTTTGGGGTTTTTCTGTCTCCTGTTGTAAGGGGTAGCCAAGGCTACTCAATGATGTAAAGACACCCTTTATTTATCAATAATTATCAATAAATATCTTCTTTTAGTGATCAAAAAAAGAGGTAAGATTTAAATAGATATTGTGGGGATTTTCAAGGCATGGGGGAGCCATGGCTCCTCTCTGCCATCCCCTTGCGCCACTCCCGCTACTCACAGGAACAGGGTTGACACTAGATAATAATAACAAATAAATCAATTAACATAGCTAACTGCTACAAACCAACTAACACACTAAAAAATAAAAGATAAAGAAAAAAAAACATAATTATCTGTATTGGATTAAAAAACAAAGAGTAAAATAGAAATTAAGAATGGGGCGGAGCCCCTGTTTTGGAGTATAAAAAACAAGAGGAAGAATGGGGTGGAACCCTGTTTTGGCTCCAAAACCAATGGAAAAAAAAATTATAAAAAAAAAGAAAGAAGAAGAAGATGAATAAGACAAAGGAGGAGGAGGAATAATGGGGTGGAGCCCCTGTTTTGGTTCCAAAACCCATGGAGAAAAAAAGAAAGAAAGAAAAAGATGGAGGAGGAAGACGAAGAGCTGCCCTGTTTTGGTTCCAAAACCAGTGGGGAAAAACTAAAAGAAGAAAAAAAAGAAAGAAGATGGTGGAGGAAGAAGAATGGAGCAGAGCCCCTGTTTTCGTTCCAAAATTTTAAATATATATATATATATATAAGATGAAGGAGGATCCCCTTTTTTGGTGGCAAAATCAGTAGAGAAAAAATAACGAAGAAGAAGCAAATTCGAATAGCACAGTTCCCCATCAAGTTTACACTCTAGGCTTTGTCTCCTTTGGTTAGAAAATGTTGTAGGCTTTTTGTTTTCTTGTCTTTTAGGTTTAGAAATAACAAAATAAATTAAATATAAGATATATTTATTATATAATAAACAAWTGTAGGGGAATGATACTTCAGTAAGGTGCTCGCCTGGGTCACCTTGCCCGAGGGGCACGCCTAGGCATAGGGGTGAGTGCTGTGCTAAAGTGCATGTGCCTTTACATACGTGAGGCACCTGCCCTGAAAAGCACCTCACACCTATGGCATGCCTTTTAAATCACTGGGTTGGAAGGAGATTTACGTAAACAAAATTGATTTTTATTCAAGGGGATATTTAGAATGGTAGTTAGTTGAAAAACAAAAGAAGTCAAGCAAATTTTGACCTTTATCTATAATCTCCATGTGTTTCTTGTTATTTATCTTTCTGTTTTCCATCTATTCTTCTGTGTTATTATCTTCTATTTGTTATGTTGCAATCTTTTATTCGCAGCTTCTCTTTCTTTATGTACCATATTAACTGGACTTCTCTCCTTGTCCTAAAAAATTGTGATGTTTGTATACTACCAACTAGTTTTGTGGAAGACAATAAAGTTTTTCAACAAATTTGGTGGTTTTGCAGCGGCTGTCATCTTCGGTGAGGATGGTTACAAAGGGTGTTCTTAAAGAGCACCTCATACTTGCTGCAAATAGCATGACATGCACTGGAAATATGATTGGTTTCAATTCAGGGGGTTATAAGGCATTACTCCGTTCTTTAAATGTCCATGTGCCATTTACAGAAGCTACACTATTTGTAAGGAGCTTTATTTTATGCTTATAAAAATTACCATGCTGAAAGCTATTTCTTTCTTTTTGGATTATATACATGATGCTGCTAGAACCCTTCCATGCTGTAACTTTTTTTTTCCTGCACAGACACCAAGGAAATGCTTTGAAAAGGCTGCCCAGAAGTGTCATATGGATTCTTTGTCAAGCATAGTTGCATCTTGTTCCTGGGGTAAACATGTGACAGTTGGTACAGGGGCTCAGTTTGAAATTTTATGGAACAACAAAGAGGTTGCTTAAAATTCATTTAATTTTATTTTCTGTTTCTCAATACACAATGAAATTATGGTTTACTAATGAATTGTTCATCTTGAGTTATTAGGACCCAATTTTTTTATTTTCAGTTAATAATATTGTGGTTGATTTCTTTAGTACTTTTTCTGTTAGATGGGAGTGAATCAAGATGGTGAAATAGACGTGTATGACTTTCTCCAGTTGGTGAGAGGGTCAAATGAAGGAGACTCTTTTACTACATGTTTAGGTCAAGAAATTGATGATCTTGAGCTGGAGAATGAAGAGAGAGAGTTGAGTTTATCCCCAAACGTCAATACTTGTTTCAATAAACCGGTCTTTGATGATAATGGATGCTTAGGGGAAGATTCTTGGGGAAAACAGGCTGAAAAAGAAGGTATAAATGGTTGGGACAAAAATGAAAAGCAACCTGAGGGGGGACAACAGTGGGAACTACATAGTTGGGATACTAATATGGAACAGAAACAGGCAAGCCAACCTAAAGGTTCACTTGGTTGGGGTTCTYCAGAACCTGTTGACTGGACCGGAAAAGAAGTTACTCAGGGCTGGCAACTGAAACAGTCATCTGTCAAGCTACAGACTTGGAAAGGAAAAGTTGAAGAAGTGGGCAAAAGTAGCTGGGAAATAAATGAACAACAATCCAGCTTGACACAACAGGGGGAGAGAAGCAATTGGGACATTATTGTGGAACAAAAACAGGGAAATCAATGCTCACTTGATTGGGATTCCCTGAAGTCCAGTAACACAACCAAAAGTGAAACAAAAACTCAGGGTTGGCAATCAAAAGAGCCACCTGTCAAATCACTGACTTGGGAAGGACAGGCTGAAGGAGTGAACAGGAGTGATTGGAATGACAACAAACAGGAATGTGATTGGGGACAACTGAGGGTTTCAACCACTTGTGACACAAATGTAGCACAAAAACAGGGAACTCAACCTTGTCTTGGTTGGGGTTCTCCAAAATCCAGTGGAAGAACCAAAAATGAATTGAGAACTGAAGACTGGCAACTGAAAGAGTCACCTATCAAATCAYATACCTGGAAAGAATGGACTAAAGAAACAGATGGGAGTGGCTGGTGTGGAAACGATCAGCAATCTGACTTGCCACAACAGATGGAGTCGAGCACGTGGGTCACTAGTATAGCACAAAAGGGAAGTCAGCCTTCACATGGTTGGGGTTCTTCAACGTCCAGCAACAAGACCAAACGCGAAATGAAAACCGAGGGCTGGAAACTGAAAGAATCCGTTGTCAAACAACAGACTTGGAAAGACCAAGTTCTAGGAACAGATAGGAGTGGGTGGGACAGAAATGAACAGCAACTTGACTCAGTTGACTGGGAACAAGGGAAGTCAACTACTTGGGACAGTAATCTGACACCTAAACAGCAAAGTCAACCTTCACTTGGTTGGAATTCTCCCAAGTCTAGTGATGGGGGCAGAAATGAAAACAAAACTAAGGGCTGGGAATTGAAAGAACCAATGAAGTCACAGAACTGGGAAGAACAAACAAGTCAACAGGGCAGTGAAGCACATCTCCAGTGGGGTCAAAGCAGTGGATCACCTATCAAATCACATGGTTGGGGTACTAATGTAATGAAAAAACCACTAAAACAACCAACCAGTTCACGTACTTGGGGTTCTGGAGATTGGAAGAACAAGAAAAATAGAACACCTGGAAAATTGGATAGTGGAAATGATTGCAACTCAAGTGGAATTTTCACTGTGAATAGACAGCGCTTCGATGTATTCACATCTGAGGAACAAAATATTCTTTCCAAAATTGAACCAATTATGCAATCAATAAAAAGAATTATGCACCAGTCCAGGTAATTTCCTATGGATCTCTCTCAAGATAATTTCAAAATGTTGCTAATTTTTTGTTATCTTGCATATCAAAATAAGAACCAGGAATTGTTAAATGGAAATGATTGCTTCATTGAGGGGAGTATAATAAGATTTCCTAGCTTAAAGTGAGAACATTGCATTACCATTTTATATAAATGGAAAGCCTAAGGACTGCCTGGAAACTTGATAGGAAAAGTGGGAATAGGAAATAGGTGATGCATCTTCTAATATTGGCATTTCAAAGTGAATTGATGCTGTAATTTTCATTGTTTTGATCACTCAGATCATCTAAATTAAATTCTTATCGACTCCTTTTTATCAGTATTGCATGGACTCTCCTAAGTGGATAAAGTGTCCATGTCAGGCATGCATCAAATTCTAGCACTCAAGTACTCTCGATGGACACACTTCAACATAAACATTTTCCTTCATCTAATTTTTTATTGAACATAAATGAATAGCTAGCATACACAATGAATGCCATTTTTTGTAAAAATCATTATTAAGTAATAAAGATTAAGCACTGAACCTCTTTTATATTATAGGTATATAATGTTAGAATTAGAAAACTATTAACTATTTAAATAGGTTATATTTTTCTATAAAAGCTTCTACCTCCCCATTTTTCTTCTTGCTGAGCCTGACTCCAGATTCCTGAACACAGGTTCTGATTCATGTGTGCCTGCTTCTTTTGAATACCGAGACATTCTTAAAAAAGAATTTTCAATGTGTCTATATTTGCTCTTTAAATCAACACTTTGAGGGTGTATGGTCAAACCCTTTTCCTCACATTTTTTCTTGTCTTCTGTATCATTTTCCATTTCAATTTTATATATGTATTCTGACAAGAGCATCTTATTTCTCCGATGAAGGTACAATGATGGTGATCGACTGTCAATAGAAGACCAGTCATTTGTATTAGAAAATGTGTTCAACTACCATCCAGATAAGGCCATAAAAATGGGTGATGGAATTGATTATGTTATGGTATGCAGCATTGCAATATGTTGTGTTTATATTTTCCATGTTTTTTTATTTTATGGCATCATGGAACACCAAGAAACTTCATCCCTATATTCTAGTCTTTAACATGCGCTTATTTTTGGTTTCTTGTCTACATCTTTATTTTCACCAATGCACTTGAAATGAAAAACAAAATATGACATGCATCAAAAGTCATAATCTATAATGTATGCAAGGTTTTAGTTGATTGATGGTTGAATTTGCTCCATGTAGTTTTGTTTGTAAATTAGTTCTGAGGTACTTTTTTTGTTACTTTAGAGTCAGGTTTTACACCAGAGTTGAACATAAAAGTTGAAACCTTGTTGAGTTTATGGTAATTAATGTGATCTGTAAGGAGAGAATACTTAAACATGAATATTTTTCAATGCAATTTGTCTCTGGAACATATAACACATGCCTCRTATCAACCACGTTTTACATATTGATCAAAGCCATGCAGTAGTATTGCTTTGCTGTCTATTGTAGATCAATTCATATATTTTCTTATTAAAAAACATATGCACCTTAAATACTGATTAAACCAGCTATCCTCAACCAGTTATCCAATTAATAAAGCTTCCACCACATTCTGAATGGTTTTTGCATCAGTAGTCAACCCAACTAGATCATTGAACTATCTAATAGATTGAACTTCTTGGATAGAAATAAGTAACTGGCTAGTAAAATAATCTTATTCAGACTGTAACATCTTCCTTTGTAGCCATATTTTACCCTGGAAAATCTTCTTGTTGAGATAGGTCAAATGATACTGATTGAAAGATGTGAAAAATCAGAATGTGTTCTCCAGTGTGACCGGCTTCCTCTCTTCTCTAGGCTGAATGTTTCCTCACTGATTGTTAGCAGATTATTTGTAGAATTTTTTATATTTGGTTTTTATAATAAAGCTGGTATTTAATTTGATAGGTAGATAAACACAGCAGTTTTCAAAGTAGCAGGTGCTTCTACATTGTCTTGACAAATGGTCATCAAGAAGATTTTTCATATCTCAAATGTCTGGAGAACTTCATCAAAGAAAGATATCCCGGGATAGGTGAATCCTTCGTTAGGAAATACTTTAAGAGACATCGTTCTGGAGGTGTCCTTGAGCGAGAATAGGAGGCTGTTCTGGCCTTTTAGATATCTATTTTGTGGGCCTTGTTAACCTTTTTAGAATATGAATTAGTTGTTTCTACAGTCGTATGGTTCATCAGATGTACATATTAGTCCTGTCGTTTAGGTCACACGTGTATCCTCTTTTTTGCCTACTGTAATTTTGTATTGTGTGTGTGTATATATACTATTACCCCACATGAACCACATTTTTTGCTTGTAAGTAGTTGTGTTTCATTCTTGTGCAACTCAAAAAGGGAAACATTTAAAATATCCCTTGCGTCCACAAATAAAGTTCCTAGGTTGGGTTTTTCCCATATGCGCTAGCAGTGTGGTTATCTGCTCAAATGGTATAAACCCTTGATGCAATTGAAAATTTATCTCCACAATTAGCAGGAGGCAAATTTCAGTAATCTTCGTAAGATCTAAAAGAAGAAACTTGTTGCCAAATATATGATCATATTCAGATTACTGTTGGATGCTACAAATTCAGAAGTACATGATCACAAGTTAATCACCCAATAAATTGCTTGAAGTATCTAGGTATGAGTGCCTTAGTTGTGAACCAAATCAAGTCATGTAGATTTCAGCTGACTTGAATCTGCGGGTGGCAAAAAGAATGACTTTTCGGTGTATGTAGATGGTTCCTTCGATCAAAACATTGAGAAAGCTGAAACGGGCTATTTTTAATTCCAATAAATCAATCATCCACGTAGCAGGGAAATCAGTCCATCTGGACAGTTACTATTTTCTCCGATGCAGCCGCAGTTGTAAATAGCTTGTCCTTTGACCGACAGGTTTCGGACTGGACTATATATTTTTCGGAACCAGATGTTTTAGAAATGTTTTATCTTTTTGTAATGGTTTCAAAGGTAAGTAAATAGGGAAAATATGAATTGCCTATATTAAGAATATGTACATAGGTTATAGGAATCAAGGAGGGATGATCAGGTGATAGTTGTAAATTTGTATATCTTTTGGCTGTGTAGGGTTTGAAAGAAAAGAAGGGAAGGGAAAACTTTTCTATTCCTCTTTATTTCCCTTCCCTTATTTTCTTTCAAACCGAATACAATCTTAATGAATATGTAATGAGGTTTTTTTATTGGAAAAAGGGAAAATGACTTACCTTTGGTTTTCAAAACCTATTTAAAGTACCCTTATTATGTAATATGATAAATACTGACCATTCATTAGTTATTTATCACATTCCATTTGCATGTGATATATCGTGACTCTTAATATTTTAAAACCCAATTTTACCCTTTAATTTATTTAAACAAATCTTCCGGTTTTTTCCACAAAATAGAAGTTTGATGAACAAGCTGTAATGGCAGAAACAGAAACTTTCATTGGGATCCCAAGAGATTTCGAATGGCTTATCAGAGATATTGAGCTGGAAAAATGGGATGGGAGCATGGTGAGCCCAGCCAAATCTCTCTCGCTCTCTCTCTGAGGACCATCAGAAGACGAAGAAAAGAAACAAAGAAAAGCTGGAAAAGTCCATTGTTTGCAGCGAAGGCCAAATTTGCGGTATTAATCTACAACGGTGATGCATCCAACAGCCTTGGCATCACATGGCACCAGATGAAGAGCTTGAATAAGGTGTTGCTAATCTAATATTTGCATAACTCAACAACCTGAACACTCGAAGCTAACCATTGTCTAATAAGTAATAACTTCCCCTTCAAGTTGAGCACGCGAGTTCCAAAGGCTCGACTAGGTCTGTTCATCAAACCGACCAAATGACCAATTCGACCTTCAGTTGTCAGTTTTCAACTATTTTTGGCGGGATTCGATTCAGTCATTATGCTAACCTGAGAGGTTGGGTCGTTTCCACTTTAGCCATGTATAAATTGATCAAAACCGACTTGACCTGATTATATTTTATATTTAAATTTTTTATATGGAAAGTGGAAATTTTYCATATTTCCTAGTTTAAAATATTTTATATTATAAATTTATTTTTTAAGTTTAACTTTTTAATAATATTATTGTATTTTTTTTAAATTTAAATCTTTTGAACCAATTGACCAAGCCAATTAATCAATCCAAACTGGTGCAACCTGAGCTGGCTGGTTTTCACTAATGGTCAGCCAATTTTGAATAACCAATTCTCATTCCAACCAAGTCAGTTCAATTGGCCAAATGATCTGCAACCAAACTAAACCAACAGGTGAACAACTGATTGAATTGATCAACAGTTATTGCTTTGGTGAAAATGCCTAGTAGTCATTGTTTGTAGGAACATTGAATTCTGAATATGTTCACGAATAAAATGATAATCTATGTCAATGTGTTTGGTTTTTTCGTGTAAGACATGATTGACTGCAATATAGAGGAGACAAAAGATGAACATTAAGATCAGAAAGCATGTGTTTGATCAACAACAGTTCTTCGGTGGCAATTACCATAACATGGTATTTGGCTTCAGTAGAATACTGAGATATCTTATTTTGCTAGGGGTGCAAATGGATTGGATCATGATCTAATCTGATCCTATATTGTCGGATTCAAATATTCTTATTTCAAAGTTTTGGATCGGATTCAGATTACCCCTAAAAGGATCGGATAAGATTGTATATTGCACTTTTGTAATTTTTTATAAAAAAATATGTATATATATATATATGATGAAAATAGTTGAAAAAATACTTGTATTTTTTTCTTTATTTAAATTGTTATGTTTTATTTTCTTTTAATAATTTATTAATTTTTTTTAACAATTAAATTGGATCAAATCATATTCAAATATTTGACATCCATATTGGATTCAAATTCGAATCAGTAATTATAAGATCCGATTAGATCTTTGGATCGGATTCGAATACACCTTAAATCAAATCCGATTTGATCCATTTGCATCCCTATATTTTGCCATTTAACCTTCCATGAAAGAAGGGAGTAACTAATTAATATCAAAAGTGGAACTATACGGTATGAGTGCTATGCATTAGTTCAAGATTATAAATAATAACTAAATAATAAGCTTAAAAAAATTGCTATATGTACCTGTTTTAACCATATGGGCAAAGAAGAAGTAGCAGGTATTCTTTGGCCTCATTTTTCATCAAAATGAGGGTCAACCTAATCCATTTGAAATACCCATGCATATAACCTATAGTAACTCAAATTATTGAAGCAAAACAGTCTTATGAGTTTCATTTTTAATTTAAATTAAAGTTTAACGCAAGGATTACTATTATTTATTAATTAATAGTTAAATTTTTAACTTACATTATTAATAACATAATTTGTAGTTTAAAAATTATTTTGATTTCTTGATAACTTAATTTATAGTTTATTTAGTTACCAAAATTAAACTTTATTAGTTAATAATTAAAATTAAATAATTACTAAAATAATAAAACCTGTCCAACCAAAAAATAATGCTTAGAATAAGATGTCTAATTAGATATTTCATAACTTGTTATTTGATAAAGCGCGTGCAACACACAAGTCGCCACTAGTAATATATAATCAAGGAGCATCGGTCAATCAATACGGACTAAAATCCACGGTATTAGTATTGTGCATATTGATATGCAAGGATCGCTCCAAGATTGTCTGACGGGTGAAAGGTAGTGTGATGATGAGGTTTCCGTAGCTCAAGATGATGATGAATCTGCCACCATTAACAATGTCATCAAAAGCAAGACAAAGACAATTTCATGAAAAATCCATGGCCTCTAATACCATGACAAAACAGAGAAAATGCTTACATGAGAAAAGTTTGTTGAACTATTTAATAAGCTAGTTAAAAATTAATTAAAACGAGTGTAAAATGATTAATAAATAGTAAAATTGATGTGACGTATTAATAATTAAATAATGTTTAAAGAATTGAGGATTTAAACATTAATTAAAATAACACATTAAATAAAACTGTAATTTAGTACTTAAAATAATTAACCATAAAACTATTGTTAAATAACAATTAGTTAACTAAAATAGTTTTTTCTTAATTAAGATAATAATTATTTTAACTAAAGAAAATATTAAATAAATAACAATTACTTGATAATTAAATAAAATAATTACATAATTAATCAATTGATTATGTATTGTTATTAGACATTTGTTACATAATCATTATATATTTAAATAATTATTATTAAATATTTAAAATAAAAAATTACATAATGATTTTAATAAAATCCATATCTAGTAATTATAAATAAATAATTATTAATAAAAATGAATAAACATAAATAAATAGTAATTATTAAATAAATAATAAATAATAAAATAATCATTACTAGACAATACAATAATTAAAGAATAAATTCATAAATTATTATTATTATTATTATTATTATTATTATTATTATTATTATTATTATTATTATTATTATTATTATTATTATTANATTATTATTATTATTATTATTATTATTATTATTATTATTATTATTATTATTATTATTATTATTATTATTATTGTTGTTGTTGTCGTTGTTGTTGTTGTTGTTGTTGTTGTTGTTGTAAAAATAGTAAATATGCTACCAATCTTTATAAACTAACATGTTAAGATTGAATGTGAAATGGTGATCGAACTTTCTTAATGGCTCTTAAAGTGAAGTTTGGATCTCCTGCTAGGGTGCAAATAAGTCGGATCATATCCAATTTGATTCCAAATTCGATCCGGTCAGAGTTGGATTCAAACACCTCCTTGATCCTAACAAATCGAATTAGATAAGAAAAGTCAGACCGCTTAGGCCCTGTTTGACACATCTTTTTGTGTGGGCTACTGGTTGTGTAGAAACTCGACAAGTCGTGTTTTCGCCTTTTCCCGTTTGGTTGAGAAAATATCTATCCACCAAATGATGCTACCCTAAAAAGACGCATTAAACCCGTTTTGGGCTATTTTCAGGAAGCTCCAAATGGAGCTTTTCAACTTTTTTATTGTGTCTTCATGCGGAAAGAAGTGTGGGAAGATGCACCTTAACCAAATAGTCTTTAAGCTACTAAGATCTTGATGCAAAAGCTCACATCATCTTTTGGCTACCAGGTCTGCCAAAAGAAGACTTGCCAAATGACACCTTAGTTAATGGATATCAAATTCGAATATACCCCAATTTGATTCACCAACATGATCGAATCCTGTCCATTAGCTTTGAAATATTATATATTATTTACATATTATATATGTATATTCTGTATATTATTTATATAACTATATGTTATATATGTTATATTATAATATATTATTGATGGTGCGCGATCTGGTAGCTCCCTACTGGAGGATAGCTTAGACATCTGGCTAGCGAGGTCGG